CTCTTCCGCCGTGCGGCCGCCATGTCGGGCAGCAGCGCCCCCTGCTGGGCGGGGGCTGTGGGGCGGCCCCCGCCCTGACGAGGTGGCCTCTGGGGGGCTGGAGCTCGCTCGAAACCCGTACGAAAACCGCTAAATCCGTAGGGATCCCCCCATTTTTTTTTTTTTTAATACATTTAAGAAAATGTAAGGCTTGTCTAGTTTCTGACAGAAAAGACTAGGACAGTTCGTCCCTCATAGCCCCGGCTGTGGTGGCAAGGGCACGATGCCCCTTGAGGCCCCAGGAGCCAAGGGATATCAGTGCCCCTGGCCTCTCCTGCACCTGCCCAGTCCCCTATTTTAATCTCTTTCCAACCCTGCCAAGCTCAGATGTTTTTTCCTAGTAGTCGACTATGGCCTCTCTCCAGTGCTAACTTCTGGGGCGTTTCCATCCCCAGCGGTGTGCAGGACAAGGGGATGCAGCTGCTGGGACCAGTGGCCCTTGCCACAGGGACAGGATTCTCCCAGCTGTGCCTGGCCCGGCACGCACAGCAGGTGACAACTTGTCTGTCATTTATGTGATCAGACAGAATTAAATGTCCCATGGCAGTTTGCTGCTGTCAGCAGGAAAACCGATTGGTTGGTCTTATTTTTAGTCTCTGCTGTACTCTAGGCTTATGCATCCTGCTGGGTGCGTATGTCTGGCCCTGTGTCTGTCTACTCTCATCAACTTCGAAATCTAGTGCCAGTTTCAGACATGTCTGGCAGATGCCTGGAGTTCCCTGAAACACTGAATTTCCCCAAGTTTCACCAGAATAGGTGGCTTGGTATGGGAAAGAATTTCTCAGCTGAACAAAGTGCCCCGCAAGATGAACTTAGACCTTAGCAGACACCAGAAAACACAGATGAAAGCCAGTGCATGTAACCCAGTTTCAGAGAAAGGGTCAGTCTTGAATCTCCCGTGGGGACCAAATCTATAGGAAGTCAGGCTTCATTATTTTGTTCTCTGGTGTTGCATTCCTGACATCTCTTGAACAATGAAGTACTGCACAGGATTTATATTTTACCTGAAAAATGTAATAAGTCTTTATTATTCAGAAGATTATTTTTGTCTATGCATGTTTCCATATTCTTTCATTACATCATATGTCCTAGATGACCCATGCTTCAGAAATCCAGCTTTCTCAGGGCTGATGTATAATGAATCTTTCACCCTCAGTGACAAAATACGTTGCATTGATTTGTCAAGGCACTTCTTTTGCTACATTTTAAACTATATATTATGCTATAATTTATTGCTGGGCCACTCTTTATTCATGCACAGAGAGTTCACATGCATTTTGCATCCTGTTTATAGATTTATTGATAACAGTAATCCAGCAGCATGCCAGAATGCTAGATAAATACGGAGGCATATAATTTGAGAAAATATTAGATGCTTTTAAAACTCTGAGATCTGCATCTTCCTTCTGTCTCATTGTGTAATTTGTCATTCAGGTCAACAGAGCTTTTCAATAATGGGAAATTTCACACATCTTCAGAGAGAGAAAATGTCAGTATTTGCCTTCTTCGGTACTTCACGTCACAAAGGAAAATGTGGAAAGCATGTATTTTAGCGAACTCCATAATCCCAAATTTGGGTGAAAATGGGCATGCTGCTTTTGCAATAAATATATAAATAGGATTATTATTACCTGTTTGTGAAGTAAAAATACTTTCTAAGAATGAAACCAATATTTCAGACAAAAATATAAATATCATCAAGAAAGTGTAATAGTGAAAGAAATATCAATCTGCTCAGTAGATAAATTCAGCATTCAAATCTAGTGGTCATATCTAAATACATTACAAAAATATTTCAAATATTATTCTAGAATATTGTGGTTTATTATTTTACATTTACCAACTTGGCTTCAAGAACCTGGTAAATACAGTTGCCTAAAATCTAAAATGTGAATAATTAGAAACTCCTGTCAACTACTCTTCCAACTTTCCTGTGTTTTCTAAATACCAGAAAAGGGGAGAAAGCCAGTTTCCATGTTACAAATTTCACATTTAGATCTCTGTGTCATACAAGCATCACTTACCAAATAGGAATTCTGAATTGAGGGAACATTTTGTAATTGTTCTTTGTTTTGACAATGATCCCACAGCAGAGAACAAGCCACAAGGGCAGGTTTCACATTTAGAATGAAATTGAACATAATGGCATGATTCACTGGAAATAAAAGTTCATATAGAATTGTTATTTCAGTAAATTTTTGCTTCCTGCTGAGATAATCTTTGTGAACAGATTTCCTTTCCTATTAAATTATATTCATGGATTGTTTTTTTCCCCCGTCATCAGAATGAGCAAAATACAGTTCCTTTAGCTATTGTCTCCTGGTCACCTCCCACATGCCACGCAAATGTGATTTAGTGACTACATAACACACATAGGTAGATTATGGCTCTTTCGTAATTTGCAACTACTGTGCTATTTATCACCACAGAAAATACCAAAGCAGCACCAGAAAGACTTTTAGACTGAGCTCATAGGGTCATTCTTTGTTCTTAACAACAGAGAAAACAGCCTGATTCATGTACAAATATCTATCACTTTACATCCAAAGCCTTTTTGGACTCTGCAGACTGAAAGCTTCGTGGCAGAATGAATTTATTCTAAGCAGTGAGAGCCTCAGAACAGTGAAGTTACTTGAAGACTCTGCTGTGAGTCTCTAGCAGGCATACATCTGCTTGAGGTATTGTTTCCCCCATATCATACTGTCACCACTGGAAGCAGCAGAACAGAAATTTTGGCCTGCTGGGAGAGATTGTCTGTGGAAGGACAGTTTTCCTCTGGATACGCTTTCCAAAGTCTCAAGGCACTACAAAGTTGTTGGCTCTTCAAATGTGCTTCAGTTCCATCTATTTCAGAAGGTATTGATAGGTGAGGAAAATTATTTCCTTAGTGTTTTAAAATTACATCCCTGTTGCTCAGAATCTTGTCGATTTTTTTTTTTTTTTTCCCCAGAGAGTATGTGCTAAGCAATTTCTGAAAGCTTGGTCCTTATACAGCTTAAGTCAGGCATGATGAAAACTAACTACAAAAATACTCTAGAAAAGCATTTCTGACCTGGCACTTACTCCCACAATTTCCACATTCTTTGTACCTGACCTTGGGCTGGTCATTTGTTTTCTCCATGCTGTTTTTGTACAAAATGACTTATATTCTATCATTCTGAGACTAAGGCCATGCAAATATATCCTCCTTGTATCTCCAGGTTTGCCTGATGAAGGTGGCACGCCCACAGCACCTTCCCTTGAGGAGGCTTATTACTGCCTTTTTTTCTGGGGCTGCCCCAACAGATTTGCTGACTGAAAGTTATTTGCTCAGTTTTTCATATTATTGCTTTCTTTTAGTCACTGAGATCAATGTCTTTTCAGTCAGTGCTGATTGGTCATTTTCACTAAGAGATCTACAGTTAGCCTAAGCTAATGGGCTGTTTTGATTGAGACAAATTAGGACGTAACCATATGATAGCTCTGCAAGGGGGTGCCTGTCGCAACCTCTCTCTCTCCCCCCAAAAAAGCAGCAGCTGAAAGTGTTAACCTCAGCTGGCAAAACTAGAGTAGAAGATGTATCTTCACTGATTTTAACCATTAACTATTATTTAGATAAATGATCCAAAAGACAAGCATAAAAAAGACAGATATGCTAGGTGAAAGCAGAAATCCATTTCCCCAATCCATTAGCATTTTTAGTTTTAAACTATAAGGAGATTATCTAATACGTGACACAAGGATGACTGGAAAAATGTAATCAGATGACTTTAGCGTTATTAAAAGGAAGAGGTATGTTACAACTAAAATGAGCTTTTAAATTAGTGCTTTGTGCACATCACAGTTTAAAAAAAAAACAATTATAAATCAGGATAGCATCATTGATCAAAGTCCCACATTATGGCACTTTGCATTTCCTATATGAAATTTATATAATCAAAGTTTCTGTGCCAAGAAATGTAAGTCTCTATGGGAGACTTAACTCTGCTGAATGCTGACCTTATCTAAGGAACACTTGTATTATATTGTCATTTATAAGGCAGTTTTCATCAAAAACCCATAAATATTTAACAAGGGACATTTCTTTTTCCCTTTGTTCTTTCTCCTTTGTTGTTAATTGCTTAGCTTTAACGTACCAACTGTAATTCTATTCCCTGAAGATCAGTCTTTATTTTTAGTAGCTATTTCTTTAATTCTGAAAAGGTAACTTTAGAAAAAGAATACTTGGTAGCAGGATTGACATTCTAGAATAACCTACAAAAGCTTGAATTCAACAACCAAATCCCCTAAAATTAATAGTTACTGTTATGTCGTCAAAATCACCTTTTTTACCTGTTTATTTATCTATAAAAAGTGAAAACATTGTCAAGAATAAGTGTCATGCAACTGACACAGGAGCAATTGCACCAGTAGTAGGGTGCAGCATTACTGTTGACACTCTTTTTTGTACGCAGTGTAAAGTAATTGTTTTCAGGGACAATTAATTTGCAGCAGTTTTTTCTAGCTCGGTGGGGTGCTCCTTGCTATTAACAAAAATCTTACTGCATTTTTCCTGAGGCTTTGTTAAACATGCCTCTCAACATGTATCCGAGCCAAATAAAAAAAAGTAAACTTTGGATCTGGTAACTTTTACTGTATAAACGATGCTAATTTATATGCATTGGTTGCCATTCTACATCTTAATCTCAGTTTCTACAATGTATTATGTTATTGTTTGTAATATGGCATTGATTTAATATACAGTTCTTGTTCAGGAGCTCTACTTACCTGACCAGAGAGCAGCAGCGGATTGTGTATACCACATCTCTTTAACTAAAGACCATTCTGTCAAAGTACTTTAAAATACCAACACTGATTTAACCCTGACAGACAAGATAAAGTTCTCCCTCAGTTTAGACAGACATCTACAGCAGAGCCAGTCACCCCACTCTGTGTTTAGAGTCAAATGGTGAGAAATAGTAGTTTTTAAAGAAAAATCTCATCTAACCTGTTTTAGGCTTCTGCTTCAGGACAAGATGGAAAACGCCTTAGAGTCTGTTAACCCGATGGTTAGACCTCCACTGTTTTAAAAGGGAGCCTTGCACGACGGGCTTGGATGCAGGCAACTGGATTGTAGATACCTAGTTAGGTGACTCGTATTGCAAAGGACAAGGCAACAAAACAGAACCATATGCACGTGAGTGTGAATAACCTCATGTTTACACAGTCTGTGTCTGGCACGTATCTGACACTAGAAACCACCCTAATTTACTCCTACACCTGCTAACATCCCTTCCAAGCAATCACCATCTTTCAAGACTGCAGTTTTACAGTTTCTTTAGGACAACCTCAATCTGCCATGCACTTATCCCAGGTATGCATTTCATCATTCTTCTTCACGTTAATACCAGGACTTGTGGCATAATCCACCAAACCCAAGATGTGATCCAAGTGAAACTACTAAACTTTCTAATTGGGCTGGATTAATTTTCTGATTCAGCTACAGAAAGAGGTAGTTAGCAATGGAAAATGAAAGAGAACTACTCTTTCCATTTGCAGCACAGACTAAGATCACCCTAAATCAGTTATGAAACTACACCATTAGCAGATTACAAAAATTACTGTGTCAGGGTAGGACAACACCTAGTAGGACAGTTATTTCCCATGCTGCTTTAAGGGAGAATTCATTACTCTAACAACTACAGCTGCTCCTTCTGTTGCCAATCTGTAAACATTTGCACCTGTGCCCAATATGAAGTAAGTTTTGAAACACAGGTGAAAACAAGAACAATTACAAAAGCACTTTTTGTGTAATTACATTGTTTATCATGACAGGGCTTGCTTACCTTTTTTTCTCTGTTGAATGATTTTGTGAAAAATAGCATACTAACAAGTAAGCTAACATCAAGAATGAAGCTCTACATAACTGAATATGTATGTGTATGCCTAGGGAGAGAGCTGGCTGGTTCTGTATAGCTTGAATTTTCTTCAGTGGAAATTTCCTCCTTGCTTACTGGTGGCAAGGGTAAGATACCTCTTTTTAGGATAACCCACATTTGTCTAGATGCACTTTTAGAGTGTCAGGGTTAACGTTACTGCAGTCCATTCCTGTACATAATCATAGGAAAACACACACTTAAAATGAGGTATGTGTTAGTATCGTTTAAAATATTATGGTTGCAACAATCAACTGAAGAGACAGTTTTATTCTTCGTCTTATAATTGCAGTTGTAAATTCTTAACTGCAGGTGCCATATTTTTAAGTGTTTAAATAAATATGGGGCCCTGATCTGATATGGAGCTCCTTCAGCACCATAATGAAAAAGAAACAACAAGAATAAATAACTGTGCCCTTGCTTATAAGTCGTTCCTAGCTCTTGAATGCCAAGTCTTGCATGTAAGTAGTTCCAGTTCTAAGATCTTTATGGTGATATTACTGCCTGGTTTTGAGATCTGCAGATGAAAAAGTAAGCTTGAAAGAAAGAGAAGTATTGTGGAAATTTGACCTTTTTTTTTTTTTTTTTTTTTTTAGAAGAGAGGATAATGTATAGTAATACATAGCAATAATAGTGATGTTACCTGTCTGCAGATGAGCTGCCTGTATGCAGGACTCCTTTCCTTCTTTGACATTTATAGTAGAACACAGGTTATATGATCCTAATGCTGCTTTATAAATTGATCACGGCTTCTTTCCATTTCAATTTCAGTATTGAAAGAAACTTGATTGAATGTGTTTGAACACAGGACCAAAGACCAGATGCAAATGAGTTCCAGTCCTGACATAGTAACAGCCTCTTTGTAGCCTTGGTCAAGTCACTTAATCTTTAAATTTTGAAGCTTTGAATTTTGTTATGTAAGATAATTATAAAGATATTATAGTGTTAACCTGAGCCTCATTAATGGTGGGAGAACTGTTTAGATGTTCTTAGTAAAGGATGGTGAAGAAGAAGGGTACTAGGCAAGAAGTGTTTAATTAGAGATACATCTGAGCAGCAAAATTGAGCTACTGAAACCTAACCTGGGTGTCCCTAAAGATGAAAGAGTACTGAGATTTAGGGTTCAATATGACCTTGATTTTTTTTTTTTTTTTTATTCACAGAAGCGGTTGACCTGTTTTGTACAGATATTTGGACTTCTTATTTTCCTGTAACTTTCATGTGACCAAGTTCAGTTGCATTTTCCCATCAGCAGAAAAAGTCATTCTCATTAGGAGACAAATACTGCAAATTGGATGCATCTGATTTGCATATTTGAATACGCAGATGAGGGCATTTCTCATTTTTCTTCCCAACTACTGACCTCTGAGTCAAATGGAATTTATTCTACTCTAAGCTGAAAGTGAACTTCTATACAATAAAGATGATTGGGTGTTACAGGGCATCTGACATATTTTATCTAATTGTGATTCCAGATATTTGATGGCAGACGAAAAGCCTGTGGCTAGATTTCATAAGAATGAAAAATTAGAAGTCAGCCTAGATTCCAGTTTTTGTGTAGAAACAGTGGTGATTAAGCGAAATTATTAGACCTGTTCAAGGCCAACATCAAAAATTGCTTTAAAGACCAGTGTTTAAGATTGATGTTACCAGCAGCCCCTTGATGCAGGCTGGGAATGTAGCCATGGAACAATCCCAACCTCAAGCAATAAGGAAACAGAGACTCAAGGTCACTTGCAAGCTGAGATGCTTTATATAGCACATTTCAATGCTTGCTTACATTCTGGACTGACCATAGGTTCTTATAGTACCAAGGATTGTCCTTTTATTAGGTAATCATGGTGAGTGATTATCAGATGAGAAAAATCTCGCCATAATTATCTGTGATGGACAATACACTATTATCTGCAATTGAATTTTAAAACATTGTAGTTTTTTATTCTTTTGTAACTAGGTTGAATAAGGGTGTGATCCAGTATTACTTTCCAGTTCCTTCAAAAATAATTACATGCTAAAAATTGTAATACATCAAAAATTTAATTATGTTAAAAGTGCTTACTAATGTTTTGTTATTACTGTTTAATCTTGGCATCCACATACCATCCATTAATTTATTTTGGTAAAAACTATAGGTCACATTGTGAAGTTATTGCTATCTTTCTGTGTAGTCAAAACTCCCGATCTTTTTTCCCAGAGTGTAGATTCAGTGAAGACACTGATTTGGGGT